GAGATGAATATGAAACAGTCCTTGTTCACAAGGATCTCACAGCTTTGTGAGGAAGGGTCAGGGCAAGAAATTTGTGGAATAATTTGGGAGGCAGGAGGAGGGTTGAGAAGAGCTTGCTGGGAAGAGAACAAGACAGGGGACAGAACTTGGTGGGATCTAACTATCCTTCATCCCTGGGTGGTGCAAACGGTTAATGTGCTCAGCTGTGTAACCAGAAGGTTGGAGGTTCGAGTCTACCCAGAGGTGCCTTGGAAGAAAGTCTAGCCATGGACTTGCAAAAGATCAGCCATTGAAAATTGTATGGAGCACAGTTCTACTTTGACACACATGGAGTTGCCATGAGTTGGGGTCAGCTCAATGGCAAGTGGCTAACTCTCCTTGTACTCTGCCCCTGCCTCTCACTTCCAGATAATGCTGGGGTTGATGGGGGTTCCTGTGGAGGAGGAGTAAGGGGGAGTAAGGATTATTCAGGGAACTGTGGGGATCCCCGGGGTTTCCCCACCTTGTTCTCCATGGCATGCTTCTCTTTCTCCACTTTAGTCAGGGTTAGCTCCAGGTCGTCAATGTCTTTCTTGAGCGAGGAGCATTTATCTTCTAGGTTCCTCTTCTTTGCAACTAGCTCGGAGTTCATTTCTTCTTCTTCTTCCAGTCTCTCGTTCTGCTCCTTGACTTTCGCTTCCAGTTGAATAGTGCTTTTGATAAGCCCCTCACACCGTTCCTCAGCGTCCATTAGATTTTCAGTTTCCTGAAAAAACCAGATCATTAGCATTTTTGATCAGCCTCTAGGCAGGCCCTAGAAGGAAAGGGCCTTGCTCCTACAAGCCCATCATCTAGACCTAGGCGAGGAATGCGTGCGTACACATAGTTAGATATCATCCAAATGCTTTTACTTTATTTTTTAGCACTATAGACATCACTCACGTAACAGAAACTCACAGAAAATAATCCCAAAGGCATCCATGAAGTTACAAGCTCACTTTAAAGAACAGAGCCTTTGCCACATTCAGAGGTTCGGCCATCTCACTCTTCCCACTGCCACCAGTTACAAAACAGCCCACTCACTCCACGTGTCATCACTAGCTGACTAATATCTTCAAACTATCACTGCCTTCTGACTTTCAACAGAGAAGCTCTGCCCAGGTCTCCCTAGCCCTCCCTCCTCAAGCCACGGAACAGAAAATTCAAAACCATCAAGAATCAGAGACTGAACAAATACATGCCCCAGAACACTTTCTTTTTTTTTTTTTTCCCATACAAAAATTTATACATACACTGTTATGTGACTGTAATTGCTCTCCCCATACTGTGACAGCACACTCCTCCTTTCCACCCCCGACTCCCCATGTCCATTCAACCAGCTCCTAACCCTCTCTGCCTTCCCATCTCACCTCCAGACAGAAGCTGTTTAGTCTCTTGTATCTACTTGAGCTAAGAGGCACACTCCTCATGAGTATCACTTTATGTCCCGCAGTCCAGTCCAATTCTTCTCTGAAGAGTTGCCCTCGGAAACTGTTTTAGTTCTGGACTGGCGGAGAATGCAGGGGCCATGCTTTCCAGGGTTCCTCCAGTCTCATTCAGACTATTAAGTCTGGTCTTCTTACTACAATTTGAGTTCTGCACTCCACCTTTCTTCTGCTCCACCAGGGACTCTCTATTACATTCCCTGTCAGAGTGGTCATTGGTGGTAGCTGGGCACCGTCTAGCTCTTCTGGTCTCAGGCGGATGAAGTCTCTGGTTTATGTGGCCCTTTCTGTCTCCTGAGCTACTACTTTCCTTGTATCTTTGGTGTTCTTCATTCTCTTTTACTCCAGGTGGTTGGGACCAATTGATACATCTTAGATGGCTGCTTGCAAGCTTTTAAGACCCCAGATGCCACTCACCAAAGTAGGATGCAGAACATTTTCTTAATAAGCTTTGTTATGCCAGTTGGCTT